TCCTCGTAAAGGAAATATTCGTCATCCCTTTCCTCTTAAGCCGGCCCACCTTTATATGAACCGGCATACTGGGCCTTGGGCCTTGTCGTCCGTCTGAAGCACCCACCGGGTCACCCATGAGTCTTCAGGCTTGTGAGTCGTCATACCAGTGAGCCGTCGAACACATGAGTCGCCAATCCTCTGGCGGTTACCAATGAAACATCAAGTCCGGCCGGGTCATATATCCGGCCGGGTCATACCGCGGGGTATATCCCCGACAGATTTGGAGCCCCCGAACAGCTTATGATCAATTGGTCTAAAATAGTCATAGATTTACGATCATTTCTTTCAGGGTCACTGGCAGAAGGTTACAACTTGACATATTTCTTGTAGTGCATATGCCTATGCGTTACAGCGGGAGAGAAAATTACCGTGTCCATCAAAACATTCACCAGCGCGACACACGAACCTCCAGACCATGCCACCAAGCGATGGTAGTGGAGCAAATGAGGTGGGCTCCTGGCCGATGGCGCCCAAGACAGAAATGCATTAGTGCGGGCGTCGGCTAGTTGATGCGGTAGCTGGTGAAGATGTGATTCTATGTCGTGTGCATGCACGCACCTTGTACACTTCCAACACCCCCCATCTAATGCTACCGCCTTGGACACGGCTCCTGGACGATTTCATATGTCTAGGTTATCGATGAGAACTTTCATCAAAAAATGAAAAGGATATATGTAGGCCTTCCTTAGAAGATGTCTTCGGATGTAGTACTAATTAGCAATCAATCCGATATGGGTGGTTTCTGATCACATCACACGCACATGAGATGTCCGTGATGGTGCGAGTCATGGAGGCAAGAACAAATCGGAGATGAATGATGAGGGTCCGACATGTGCTCCATGAACTCTTGGAGGTAGAGTTAGTTTTCTACCTTGCGTGGAATTACTTTTCTCCTAAATTTTTAAATATATTTTTCTCCTGGTTTGTAGTTTTTTTTATAAGTGAGAGCAAGTACAGTTTGGTTGTCAAACGCTTTGATTGTCAAAAGTAAAAAAGCATCTAGAATAGGGGTGTGCGGTGCAACGAAAAAATGCTAAGTAATGTACGACGAAACAACAAAACGATATTTTGATGGGCAGCGTATATGCCCAACTCACTGGGCTTGTGGAGCCAGCAGATTACTTTTTTGTTAAGAATATTCTCTTCCACAATAAAACCGCGAGGGCTATTTCTCTCTCGTACTGATTCCTATTAGGAACACCTATGCATAGGAAATAGTGGGCTGGCCCCAACATTGTACCTTAATGTTTTTATCTTTTTTGGGGGGTTCCCTAACCGCAGCCTATATTTTCTTTGGTATTTTCGGTTTTCCTTTTCCTATTACATTCTTCCATTTTCACTGTTTTCTTCTTTGTTTTTTATGATTTCCTTTAGTTTTTTCCCTTTCAGGTTTTCATCAAAAAAATCATTTTTCCTTTTTCAACACTTGTCTACTTTTCTCACGCATAATGTAAAATTTTCTTATACAAAAGGGACAATTTTATTGCATGTGTTTAACATTTTTTAAATAAATGGTCAACATTAATTTTATATAGGTTTTATTGTCTATGTTTTTCTTACACATTGTACATTTAATTGTATATATCAGGAAGATTTCTTTATACATGTTTAACATTTCAAATGGATAATTGCATTTTTTTAAAGTACGATGAATACTTTAAAAACCTAAAAGGGAGAAAAAAGGAAAATGAAAAGAAAAAACATAAGATAATAAAAAGAACATAAAGTACAAACAAAAAGAAAATTCTGTGGGACATCATCCTTTCATATTGGGTCAGCCCACGAAAAAAGGGAGCTACCGCCGGCCTCAAATAATAGGGAAACACTCGCTTTTCCACCAAAGACATTGGCTTCGCTTGTGTGTGGCTCTTTCTGTGAGACCACAGTTCGAGTCTGGCTTTATATATTTTCTTTCTCTATTTCTAAAATAGACGACATACAAAACTTGAGACAACGTACAAAACAATTACGTGACTAAGAAAAGTGGAGAAACGCGAGTGCGGCTAATCTGCACCCGGGCTCATTTGCACCCACGCTTAGAAAAAAATTCAAAAAAAATACTAGAAAAATTCAAAAACTTCCAAATTTTTTTGTGGTGGTAGATAATTTGACGTGTGAGGTGCGCCCCAAAATTCAACTCATTTGAGCATCTGAGCAGCTCTCGGCAAAAAAGACAAAATCAGGGTCTGTAAAAATGTATACTGTTCACGCACTGTTTTGACCCGATTTGTCTTTTTTGCCGAGAGCTGCTCAGATGTCCAAATGAGTTGAATTTTGGAGCGCACCTCACGCGTCAAATTATCTACCACCACAAAAAAATTGGAATTTTTTGAATCTTTCTAGTATTTTTTTGAATTTTTTGCTGAGAGGGAGCAGATGAGCCCGGACACCGTTTTGAGTTTTCCGAGAAACGCTTCTTTCTTTAATGTTAGGTAGAGATTCATGGCTCACTCGCAAAAAAAATAAAAAATCATACCTTATTCATGGCTGCGGCAGCGTATACCACTACTCCACCAGTACTAGCTGAACTTGTTCAAAAAAAAGGTGAACTTGTCCTTTATGCATGCGCACACACGCACTATACATGTCAATCACTGTATAATCATCAGTGTATAACTCTATATATTTACAGGTACATTTACTTGCCAGGAGCACACCGTACATATATACAAATTAATTGAAGGAGAAAAAACGAGATTAAAACCCTGATTCTAGTCTTTTATTTTAGCAACAATTGTGCTATTTTTTAATTAAAATCACACAACAAATTATCATATCTGATTTGTACAATATTCCTACACTAAAAGCTTTAAGGTGTGGAATTAAGATCAACACAACGACCAGGTGAACAAAATTTGCTGCAGTAAAGAAAACTAAAACTAAAACAAATACAAATACAAAATCAAAAACAGTTTATTTTTCTAAGAAAGAATGAATTAAGGGCATTGGTATTACCCTAAAGAAGAAACAAAATGAAAGAAAAACTTCGTATTGTGAATGTTGATATTCTTTTCCACAAGCTTAGTCAAACTTCACAAAATTTTCCCCGCAAAAAAAACACTTCACAAAATTTGACTGAAGAGATAATTAATGTGCGTAGTAAAAATAAAGAGTATTATCCAAATATGCCTAACATGAACAATCGTAAATACTCTGTTCTCAAAAAACTTCTTGTATGGGGGAACCAAAATGTATTAACAGCTTGCACACAAAATATGCAAAAATTGCACAATTCGTAGTGGGAAAGAACAAGTGTAAACTAGTGCAAATTCAATAATAATAATGCTTAAAAATATAAAGACACACAAAAAAGGAATTCCTTTTTTAACTTGCTAGCAAAATTTAAGTACTGTCACATAATTGTGGAATTATAGGTTGCCGCATGCACAACTATAGGGAAAAAAATTCAACAACCACAAAATTTGACTAAGCATCGGCTGAACATACATAATAAACTAATTATTAATTGATTGAATTAGATAAATTATGAAAACTGATTTCATTTTAAGTTTCTAACAAAAAATTTAGTAGTGTTAGAGGATTGCAACATAAAATACATCGTCCCTTGCATAAAGTAAGAGAAAATCCAATGACTAGAAAATCGACTAAGCATCTATAAACAAATACATAATTAAAAATTCTAAGCTAGAATGACTTAAACGACAATGATAAACAAAAATAAGATTAAGAAAAAAGTCAAAGCAAATGATGACAAAAAATGCTAGCAATTTTATATAACTTGCACGATTCATTAATATACAAGAACAATCATATACTAGTGCAACTTTTAGACAACAATATGATTTTGCACATACATTGTATAGAACTTGTATGTATACCTCAATGCTATACTTAAAGTTCAAACAAGTAAACATCAATATACAAGCAATTTTTTATTACAATTACACGATAAACTTTTTTCGAGAACACCTCGAAAGGGGCAGGGGTTCCTGCATTTCATTAACAAGAAGAGAATTGGTCCAGTTTATAAGGAAAACCGGACCCGAAAACCTAACATTCTCGGTTAATCAGCGTTAACCCCAGGGCCGCGCTCCAGCCTAGCCGCCGGCTAGGTCACCCAAGCAACCCATAGCCGACACCCAACAACCAAGACCGAAGCCGCCGCTCTGGCATCCACGCCGACCCCAAGGCCGCGCACCAGGCGAGCCGCCTGCTCTGCTGCCCGAGCAACCGGAGTCGACACCCTACAACCATGTCCGGAGCCACCGCTCCGACGTACAGACAGAAACCCCACACGCCGACCCCGAGGCCGCGCACCAGGCGTGCCGCCAGCTTCACCACCCGAGCAACCGTAGCCGACACCCAACCACCGTATTCGGAGCTGCCGCTCCGACATCCATGCCGACCCCGAGGCCCCGCACCAGGCTGGCCAACGACACCGTCACCCACGTGACCAATGCCGGCACCCCTCCAAGAGGACTAGATCCGGAGCCGTCGCTCCGACTTCCACGCCGGCCCGAGGCCGCGCACACGCCTAGCCGACGGCGAAGCTGCAAAACCACAAAGCCACCGCCAGCATACATTGGTCATATTACAATTACACGATAAATTACATTGGTCATATTACATTCCTACATACGAACTGCCTAACTTCTTTGATCCTGTGTGCTCCTCCGGGTCAAGAGTTCTGTGTGGGCCTGCTTGTACTGCTCCTCCGTGTCCTTATACGTCTGGCAGCACACATCATTAGGCGAGTCCACTTTCACATCCTTGGCAGCACATACCACCGTCAAGAGGTTAAGGATCTATAGTTTATTTTTATTTTCTTTGAAACAGAGACAAAAACTTTGCCTCGTCCATTAAATAAGCGAGAATAGAGTTTGTTACGATTTCACCCACAACACCACATGAATTATTACTCTCGCAATATAAAATACCCTAATTTTTTAGCATCGGCGGTGACCCAAAGGTTGGATTCGGTCAAGATGGTGTTAAGCATGATAGTCGGTGGAGCGCTTTTAAACCTAGACACTTGCATTTCGGTCATTCCAAATTGTCCACCACACAAGCATGGTGAGGGAGGCTTTGGCTTGTCGGTTTGGCGTGCCGGCGTCACAAGTGCTTGCCCACCAAGCGTCGACGGAGTCCATCAAGTGCCACGAAGAGGTGTCCAACTTGAAGATGTGAAATTTTTCAATGACCAAGGCCCACAGCCTTAGAGTGTAGCGGCACTTAAAGAATAGGTGTGACCCGCTTTCTTGCACCCTCTTGCAAAGTAAACACGGACCACAATTTGGCCACCCTCTCTTGGCTAATCTATAATAGTTTACGGTATCAAGTGGATGAGATTTACATACTTACAAAGTGGTAAGATAAGATCGTGTTACTGAAGTGACAGGTACAATATACCTTATGTGTGCAGAGTGCACCCCCCATCTAGCTTTCGAATCGTCCAGTTGAAGCCTAAAACATCAATTAACAGTCTCGGGTTCTCAGCAGCCAGAGGCGAGAGGAGGGCAGCTGGCATCATACATTAGAACAAGCCTGCAGTAAATAGAAGACTTGGATATGAACAGTTTTCTACCAATGTTTTTCGCACCTACGAGCGTTAAAAATTGATAGGAGTATTAGGAAGTATTTGTATTCGTCTGAGACACATACATCCGCCAACTGCAAGCCCAAAAGAAAAGTGAAAACTCCGCATAAGACAAGTCACAACCTTTGTACAAAACAAAACCTGGAAATCCCTATATGATGCTCACCACGTCAAATTGTCTAGTGTATGCTACAGTGAATATCCTGTAGCCCGTGAGTTCTTAAAAATTTGGCGCTGCAGCCAGTTAACAACCATCAACTATGGTGGCTACTAGCATGCCTGGTGTACAGGGAGTTTGATGGTTCGATTCCTGTGCTTTTTGGGAAATTTTTGCATTATCGCCTATGTGTTCCACGTGCCATTGGACACCATGAGCGTCTAGGATAACGGCAGCCGACTGAGTAAGTCTCAGTCGACAAGAGCATTAGACAAACCCTTTATCAGCTGCCAGGATTCGATTCCTCGCGATAGCGATGCTTTTCGGGAATTTTTGCATTCAGTGCTTACATGTGGGCCGACCCAGTCATTATCACGTGTGCATTGCACATGCTATTGGACACAATGAGCATAGATAATAATAGCAGTCGACTAAGTAAGACTCAGTTGATAGAGCGTTAGACAAACCCTTTGTCTAAGGAAAATGATTCACCCGCCGTCCAAGATGATCTTGTCGAGCATCAATGGCTACTCCATAGCACCAGTTGATTGTTGTGCTTCAAGTGAGGATCCAAGCTTGCCTCCCGATGTAGACGCGATGCAACCGGAAAGTACCTGAGCTCCATGATGACCCCCCAAGAGAGTAACCATGCTACGTCCCCGCCACCATCAAGACCGAAGAGACATTCAAAGGTTTTCACCTCAAAGCCCTTGCTCAGAGAGCGGGGGCAGGAGGGGCGCGACACCCACATACATTGCCGCCGTCGGCGCTGGAGTACTTAGATTTTGCTCGGAGTCTCACCCACGCCACACCCACACTACTGCAGGAATGCCTAGCAGTGGCAGGCGCAAAATGACATTAGTGACGGGCTACAGGCCCAACAAGCCCGCCACTGACCTCCCGCCACTACTCGCCCGCCCGCCACTGATAATCAGTTAGCAAGGCAGGCATTAACCAGCACCCGCCACTACTAAAGGATGCACCAGAGCAAGTTTGCACAGGCGAGCACTGTGCTCTGCCGGCCACTGCTAGCAATTTTTGGATTCATGCATATTGTTGTTCTACTTTGTAAGGTACTTTGTAAGGTCCTAAAGAATAATCAATAAAATGACCGCGTGCATCTCCCAGATGCAGAGGCCTAAAAAACAAAATATCATTTGTTTGTACATCATCATCGATTTATACATTTACATAGACCGAGGAATAGCAAATCAACCTCTGACTGTTGGACTATAAGCCTATATATCTCCAGCCTTGCTCATACACCACCAGGCAACTTAAAACAAGATAGAACCTATAAGCAAGAAATGTTACGTGAAAGAATTCAGAGAATTTGAAAGTAAAGCATTAATACAAAATTGGGTCATCTATTTTGGAACGGAGGGAGTATGTAACATCCAGCAACCTTTGCCTTCATATGCACTTCATCAAGCTCAAAGCAGTTCGCCATGGCACTTGTTCGCTTCCAAGTTCTGAGCCAGCGAACCTACAGGCCAAAAAAAGTTAAAGAATTCAAATAATTTAAGTATAAGTTTGTGATCAACATAACATTAAATGTTTCTTGAATTATATATGCAGACCTTTAGAACAATATAAAATTTCTGGAGAACTTAAACAACTGAACAACACTAATTTGTGAAGGAAAAGATGACATTCAGTAGTTAATTTGCAAAATCCAAATTTTATAAGCTTACATATAATAAATGGGTAGTGGCTGAGCCAGGAAAAAAATTAGGGCGTGCCACCACCAAAATTATAATTCAACATCACACACATAATACAGAATTGGCGAACAAAATGGTATGCGACAGTTGAGAAAGATCGGAATGTGGCTTGTCAAAAATGCAAAGTTAGTTCCAGAAACTTGAGAAATGCCTGATAGCACGAAAATATACAAGGAAGTCAGCAAACTGACCTGAAGTACAGAATCCACTCCATGGCTTTTTGGGACACAACTACCAACAGAACTGTACGTGTTTCTACTCTCTTCAGCTTGACTTGGGCCACAGCAACCATGACTGCATGTGTAATACGAAAATGAAGACTCTGAAAACCATTTGGCGACTGAAGTAGTACTACACTACTAGTAGCAGACAACATGACAGGCAGTCTGGATGCTAAGCAGTGCTCTAATTAAACCAGTATTGCAGTGCATCATAACCTTAAAAACTATGAATATAACTGAATTTACTAGCTGAGGTCTAAGACCATTTTCTTGACTGTCAGTGATTCAGAAAAATAAACTCAGTCAATTGAGACATAAACAAACCAAATAATTATACTCTAACGACATGCCAAACTCTGGAAGCAACAATTAATAATTCACCTGTAAAATTTTCAAGTCTATTTGTATAAAGCTAGAGCACAAGACTAGGTAAGAGACCAGCAGAGTTACCTTTCATGCCATCCTCGATCTTGGCTACCTGCGGCTAGATGTTGGTGACCGTCTCTTTCAGCGGCGCGTTCATGGGGTACTTGCGGTCCCACACGAACATGCAACCATCATGTTCATGGGCATTACTAAGAATCCATGGCATCCATCATATAAATAACGTAGTACTACTAAAATGTACTCCCTCTGTAAACTAATATAAGATCGTTTAGGAGGGAATACACCAGAGAAAAGAAAGTAACCCAGAATTAAGACCAGCTAGGAAATTAATCTCTACTGACATCCTTTTCCACCAGCTGCAGTAGTAACTCAGTGTCTAGAACACAGAGGAGGCCATTCCAACCCAACAGTTCCTGCAGCTCGTGGAATCATAGGTTCTTTTTACTGGTACAACTCATTGGAATCAATGCTTGGAATTATTTTCTTCAGCAGGCTGAATGATGATGCGGGCATGTTATATTCTGCAGTGAACTGCAGTAGCTCGTTCTCTAGAACAGCAAAAGCCTGCCATGAAAAGCATCAGAAAATACCAGTAACACTTGCTGATTCGTCCCAAATGGCTGGATGTGATGGCATCGAAGATTGATGCTCTTGCCCGCTTGACACATGGAATATCATTTCCCTTCTTCCCCGTGCTCATGTGATCACTTGTAAGTGGGTATACAAGGTTAAGACTGATGATACTCTCGAGCGTTACACAGCTCGTTTAGTGGTGAGAACATGGTCATGACTACGATAAAACGTTTTCTCCTATATATATATGGCCCACACGACCGCTCTTCGCACACTTCTCAATGTGGCTTCTATTCGTCGCTAGTTTGTCTCTCAGCTTGATGTCAAGAATGCCAACATGTAGCCACCACTTGGGTTCTCTTCCTGATGGCATGGTTTGCCGTCTTCGCCGCTGTCTATATGGCCCTAAGCAAACCCTCGTGCCTGGTTAGAGCGATGTTTCAGTGGTGATTGCGACTGGTTTTTGGCGAGTGCTCATGATCCCGCACTTAAGGTCCACCATTCAACTCGTGGTCGAACACTTCTACATGTCGATCATCACTGGCGACGACTCTTAAGAACAGTACATTTGTTAAGGCTCGTCATAATGAATTTTGTATGTTTGATCTTGGTCCTCGTCGCTACTTCCTTGAGATTGTTCCGTATTTCCTGGAGAAGTATATCCAGGATCTTCTTGCTCATGTTGCTCTTAGTGATAAGCGCGTTGTTGAGACTCCTATGGAGCCAACATCCACATTTGTGACCACCTCCGCTCCCTGCGAGTCTGCATAGGAACCTTTACCTTGCTACGAGTTTTATGAGCACTGTCTCAATCCCACACCCCGCGTTCCCTTGTTGTGCAACACCATAACCGCACGCTCAAGCATCACCAATGGTCAGCAAGAGCAAGGACAATCGACGCGTACCTGGATTATGAACGGGGCGAGCCGACGACAGGTGCTACCTAAAGTCAAGGCCAAGGGCGCACAATAGGAAAACCTGGGGTGCTTAATCAAGTGCGTGGCACACAACCCGCGAGTAGGAGAAGAACACCAAGCCGAATCGGCTGGGTACGGAGAGGCACATGCACGTGGGATGCTGGATCAAGTCCCTTTGCCGCCAGCGCCAGTCTCTGCCTCTGTTGCCTTGTCTACCAACTATTTTCAAGAGTGGCATCATCGCCTTGGGTCGCTTGTGAACGCTGATCCTTAGTTCAACGTGGTCTTCTTGGATCCGTCTCCGACGATGTCTCTAATCCGTGGTCCAGGTAACTAGTCATAGCGAGACAGTGTCTCAGCGTCCTTTCGACCTTGTTTACTCCGATCTCACGGGTCAATCTCCCTTTGCCTCCGCTAGTGACTTCTCTCGACACACCTGGATATACTTTATTTCTTCTTATAGTGAGGTCTTATCTATAAGCTTTTTGCTGTCATGGTTCACACTCAGTTCTCTTCTCTACGCCTATTCACCATAATGCATTATATTGTTTTAGAAATTGTAGGGAGGTTTGCCTAGATGTCAAGAGCCATGTCTATTCTCTACAATACCTTTGATACTCTACAACACTTTACGTTTGTAAACA